AAAAAAAAAAAAAAATTGCATCTTTTTTCTTTTGGGATTTTGGATGGGATGTGATTGGATTTGATTTTTGGGACATTTTTTTTAGTAAGTAATGGTAGAAAAAGGTTTGAATTTAAATCATGTTTTCTTATGTAATTTTCATTGTCTGTGTTCCTAATCCTTGTAATTATCCTAGTTTCTGTTCCATTATCATTGCTAGGAAAAAATGAAAAATAGAAAAAATGTGCATATATTTTTGTTTGTATTAGTGTTTATGTTAATTTTAAGAGCAACATTTCAAAACTTCAAAAATATATGAATACATATTAGTTTAAAATAAAGGAATGCCACTTATTGAAGACACTTGCATAGTTACACTTTGATTGATTGTCTGGAGTTGTTGATTTGATGATCCTCAATAGTTGAAGCTGATTTCCACTAAACAATACTTGTTAAATCAAGTCATTACAATAATTGAGTAACATTTTATCTCAGTTCATACATGATTTAGTTTATGTAAATTAGCATCAACATCAACACACCCAGTATATTCTCAAATGGTTGGGGTCTGAAGGTTAGTTGTACGCAGACTTTACCCATGTAATTATACAAAGAGACTATTTCCGTAGCGACTCAAGGTGTATTGCGTCGTTTGATATATTTTTTTTTAGAAACTTCACTAAAGAAGAAGCACTAGAATTTATGTAAATTATACAAATAAAAAAACATATTACAAGCAACAGCACAAAAATGAAAAATGCTACAAATACATAGCAAATGTACGTAGAGGTGTACATAACACTCATGGAATAAAATTCACTTGATTTTTTAATTTTGGTAGGTCCCACTAAATGTGAGTGTTACGTATATCCCTATGTACAATATTATGTACCTACAACATTACTCCACAAAAAATGCACCCAATATAGGGAAAAAAATTAAAAGAATGAGTAGATAATGGTTTTAAAGAATGCATAATAATAATTGAAGACATAAAAAGAATTCAGAAAATAACCTAGCATAGCATCTCCCACGTCAAATGTACATACTCAACATTCAGTAAGACAGTAACCATTTACAGAGTTTCATTACATATTTGCTGCTTTCAATATTCAATTGTGCTCCTCAAATCGTGATCAACATTTCACTCATGTGTGATCCAGATATGGGAAAAAAGAAAACAAAGCGAGAGGTAGGATCAAATTTACCCCCCACAAATCATAACCTTGCAGTTATTTTCTATATTTATAAGCAGTGCTCAATTTTTCATCACAATAGTAAAGCCATGACAAGACTTCACAATAGTAAATAAGCTTCAACCCACAGCCACTTTTTTTTTAAAAAAAAAAAAAAAA